ACTTCAAGATCAGGTCCTTTATTTGGTCTTGCCACACTTATGATTCTGGTGTGTCGCTCTCAGAAATAGTTCTAAACTTGCAAGTGTTCTAGGACTCATTTACGGAGCAACTTCTAGATTGCTTTGAATTCGTTCGAAGCCAATAGTTCGGATCTCTAGGGTTGCTTTCCAACCCTTTTGAGTTTGACCTCAAGAGATCTATGGGTTCGTGAGTTCAAACCTTTTCGAGTCAAAGCGCCTACCTCAGAGAATGGATCTTCTCTGAGGGTTTCACCTTTCTGAAATTAATATCTCCTTGTAAGAATGTTATGACTAATTCTCTCAAATGCCCTTAGGACTTTCTCGGCCCAATTTGTTAACTTTCTCTTACGCCCATTTTGGTGAGATTCACTCACGCATACTTGGTGATAATTTCTTCGGGTTCGATTGGGCCCACCTAATTTCATGCTTCAAGTGAACCCCTTTAACAACATTTTATTGTAAATGTAGTTTTTGTAATTTATCCTATTTTTATTTAAATGTCATTAATGACACCAAAAAAAAAAAACAAAAAAAAACAAAAAAAAAAAAACCTCATTTTAAGTATAGTTATTATGAATATAGTTAAAAAAACGTCATCTTTTTTCTTACCACCGAACCATTTTTCCAAAAAAAAAAAAAGCTAAAAGAAAGAGCAAAGAAAATGTGGTGAGCACAAAATAGTTGAGGCTACTCCATCTAAGGAATCTTGTCTGTGATTTATTATTATTATTATTATTATTATTATTATTATTATTATTATCTATACTATATATTAAGTAAAAGGGCGTTTTAATTCCAAACTTTGTGGGAGTTCTAATCTCTCAATCTAAATTTCTTGATTTTTTGATTTTTAAAACAAAATATTAGCATTTATTAACTTCTCTCAACTCTCAAGTCTTACCCTCATAATAACACTTTAATGCATTAAGAACAAGTATAAAAAAAATTCTTTGAAATCCAACACATATGAATTCCTTAAAAAGTCCCAACACGTATGATTATTATCCCTCATAATAACACTTTAATGTATTAAGAATAAGCATAAAATTTTTTTATTGAAAAGTCTAACACATATGATTATTACCAAAATATTAAACTTTAATATAATATAAAATAAAAAAAAAAGACAATTAATTCCTCGAAAAAAGTCCAACACATATGATTATTATCAAAATATTAAACTTTAATATAATATAAAAAAAGAAAAAAAAAGAAGACATTTAAAATAAATAAAAAAAAATTTAAAAATCATAATTCACATATATAGATAATTGTAAACACAATAAAATAGGAGGGCATTCAAGTCTACACGTTTTTTTTATAAGATCTCCTCCATTATAATAAGATAGCATTTTATTTCTCTCATCTTATAATCTATATTTATCTATACTATATATTAAGCAAAAGAGAGTTTTTAACCCCAAGGCCTGTTGGAGTTTCAATATCCCAATCTGAATTTTCTAAATTTTTTATTAAAAAAAAAACTCAGCATTTATTGATTTGGTCAAAATCCCCTTATCAGCATTTATTAACTTTTTTCAATCCACATGTCTTTTCACTTGCCTGCATTTATTGATTTAGTCAAAATCTCCTGATCAACATTTAAAATGCCGTCGTACAAATGATTATAGATACAATCTGTGTATAGTTACTGCAGTATCCTTTTCAACTTTTCTCATACACTATGGTTAGTGATAAGATTATTAAATTATTTTTATAAAAAATCTTAAAAAACATAATTTATATATTAAAAAAATCTAAAACAAATATAAATATCTATAATTATCCCGTACATAGCACGGGTGATAAGCTAGTTATATATTAAACAAAAGAGGGTTTTTAACCCCCAAGGTCTGTGGGAACTTCAATATCTCAATCTGAATTTTCTAATTTTTTTATTAAAAAAAATAAAAACTCATCATTTATTGATTTGGTCAAAATCTCATAATCAACATTTATTAACTTTTTTCAATCCAAATATCTTTCCACATGCCTGCATTTATTGATTTGGACAAAATCTCCTGATTAGCATTTAAAATTCCCTCATACAAATAATTATAGATACAATCTATGTATAATTACTGCAATACCCTTTTCAACTTCTCTCATACACTATGGTTAGTGATAAGATTGTTAAATTATTTTTATAAAAAATCTTTAAAAACATAATTTATATATTAAAAAAAATTTAAAATAAATATAAATATTTATAATTATTCCGTGCATAGCACGGATGATTGGCTAGTTATTATTATTATGTTAAAGGCAGTCTCTGTTATAGAACTTGGGCTAATGACAATTTCATATGGAAATTTATCGAACTTGAACAAGGTGGTGGCGACAAAGCCCATCTGGGACCAGTCTTGTTGAACTTGGCCCAAGATCAACAATTGGTTGGAATTTCTCAAAAAAAAAAAAAAAAAAAAAAAAACTCAAAATCCTTAAGTCATACAAAAAAGAACTAAAATCTAAAATACCCTCTTAGATATTAATTCGTGATTATATTGCAATCTAAAGTAGTAAAAAAAAAATATCAATCAAACAATCAAGACAAATTGACACAACGATTTAACGTGAAAAAAATTACAATTAGAACGCCTCCAATTGTGATAAAAAGTCACGAGCCAAAATTACAAAACAATTCACTAAGAAGACAAACATGAATTATACATTTATACCCTCAATTACCTAGCGAATCTACGCCTGAATTAAACTGACCCCAATATGCCTCCTTCACCACCGTCTAGATCTTATAATTGTCTTGCCCAACGAAAAATCCGCAACGCCGATATTAAATCCACCACAATGAGTCATCCGAAATCTACCAAAGTTTTAGGCTCAAGTTATCCGGGATCCACTGAAGAACACATCTCTCTTTTGTGAACGTAACAGTAAAAACAAACCCCTTAATCAATTCAATATTAAGCTTGTAAATTCATTGATCACTCTCAAATCAAGGAAACACTTATAAAACACCCTCTAATATACTACACTTTGGTTTTCTTTCTTTTTTTATAAAAGTTTGGATAAGTTAAACCCTAAAAATTGCGAACGGTGCACTTTATAGAAAATAGAGCCGTGAAAATTTCTTAAGCGTACACTTCATCTCTCAAACAGTGCGAGGAAAGGTAGTGCAAAACATATAGGACGATCGTTCGAGCGCAATTTTCAGCGCTCGAGCAGTAAAACTTACTTCCCAGAAGTTTAGTTTATAGGTAGAGATATTGGATGGTTGTATTCACCGTTCGAGCGAACAAATGACCGCTTGATCCCTGTACATAGTCAACGAAGTGGAAAACATGAAAATCTCAAGATCACAAACTCTTTTGAACGGACACAATTCGAGTTAGATTCGCATCTAAACATTCACATCTTCACTGAAACATAAGAGCGAATAAAATTGTAACTGAAAAGAATTTTGTCAAACGGGATTGTCAATTACAAAAACCTAACAAGAAGACCAAGAAAGAGCTGTTTGGGAATGTCTTTAATTCCTTAATTATTGGAAGAACTTCTTAGAAGATCACTTAGAAAGTAGTATGGTGGACAAACATGCCTTAAGAATCCAACAGTTTGGTTCTGTTTTTGTTTGTTTGCTTTTTATTTTCATTTTAAAAAATTACAAAACTTTTTTTGGTGAGTTGTTTTCAAAAATTATTTGTAATTTTTAAAAATAAATTAATGCATTTTTTTAAACATCAAAAAGTCGTTTTCAAACTTTTGAAAACTATTTTCGTACAAAACACAAAAACACATATGCCTCTCAAGATTTTTTTTTTTTTTTGTGTGTGTTTGTCATGGTAAATTGAAGGGCTTCTTTTTATCAAACCAGGTGCTTTGGAAAAATGGAGTGATAAACTTTTACTGACATCATGATGTGAAATCTAATAAAAGTTTTATCCCATCAGAGGAGAGTGAAAAATGGAGTGAGTGACGTAAAAAATTTCTAAAATTAACTTGGTGGAAAAATTTTAAAATACTATGGTGCCGTTTGGTAACACTTACGTTTTCAGTTTTCTGTTTATATTTACAAAAATTTAAAAAACTCAAATAAAAACTTGTTTAGTAAAATTTTTGATTTATAAATCAGTGGTCTCAGTTTATAAATTTAGCCAAAAAATGAAAACACAAAAAATGTGTTTCCATTTTGAGTTTTCAGTTTTTTTTTTTTTACCACCCAACACTGGCCATCACCCGCCACCATTTTCTACCACTGTCTTCCGCTACTACCACCCACCACCCACCACCTACCCCCCACCACCACCACAAAAAAACCTTTTTAGTGAATATTTTTAAAATTCTAAATATTTTTTTTACTTTTTTAGATGCACCTTACTTAGAAGTATCTAAAAAGCAAAAAATTTGTGAAAAAATAGTTTAAAAATTTAATAAATACATAAAAATATAAAAAATATACTGAATTCTCGTATTTTTTTTATATTTTTGGTATTTAGTGAATTTTTAAAAGGTTTTTTTTACAATTTTTTTTACTTTTTAGGTATATTTATGTTAAGTATGTCTAAAAAGTAAGGAAAATTACTTAAAATATTAAAAAAGTTCAGTAAAAGTAAAAAAATACGAAAAACAAGAAAGTAAAATTTTCTGAAAAGTTTTTTTGAAAAAACACAATCAAGAAAGCTTATTTTTATATGATTTTTTCTTTATTGGGATGGTAATATTTTTGAGATATCAAAAATTATTATTTTTACTGTTTATTTTTATCAAACTATTTTTTGAAATTTAAAAAAAAATAAATAACTTTTTTGAAAAATTTCAACCAATACCTAGCATTGTTATCTTGCGATTACCCCACTAATCAGTTTCCAATTATCCCACTTCGTGGTCATCTAGTTATATTTGAGCCGGAACCCAGTTATTCACATTTTTATTTTTGTTTTTGTTTGAAAATTTATTTTATTTTTTTAAAAAAAAAAGAAAACAAAAAATATTTCACTTAACTGTGAAAATGAAGTATAAAATTTAATAAAGACATCCAAAATTCTGCTTATAGATTTATGAGAGTGTAATCAAAGTGTCAAGCCAACTAGGTATGAATCTGATATATACATATGCACTAATTAGGAATAGACTCTAGCTTAATATATATAATTATGTCTGCAAGATGAGAAGCAAATATTGTAGCAGAAATGAAACTATAGAGTTTAGAAATGAAACCTAATATTGTACCCTTTACCATCCATTGATCTCCCATTGCATGCTCCTCCTGCAATGCCCATAAATAAGTGAGAATATATAATCTTGGAATTTAACTTGCCTATAATATCACTTGTAAGAATGGTTTAAAAAATAAAAATAAATAGTAATAATTGATGATGTATCGATTCCCGGGTGGATGGGTCGGACCGGCCCAGGTTCTCCAGACTCCGGCTCAGGAAGGCTGGCTCCGTCAGATGACCTGCAAGCAAGTTCAGGGGGGGAACGGGGCAGTCCCCCAGTGAACCCTCCGGTGCAAGAATTAGAAGAGCAGAGTATGAAAAGACTGTATATCGAGAGATCAAGAGAGAGAGCAACCTAACCTTCTTTTTTTCCTCTTATCCTTGCTTATATCCTTTGGTCATCATTTTTCCTGTCTCTTGTGACGTGCTTTTTTCGCCGAAAGCCTGTGCCATAGCTCATCTTGTTTAGGGTGATGGAGGCTCTGTTCCGGCGGGGAGTGCTGTTGTAATAAATGCTGTGATGGGTTGCATTAATGGTGATGTGTTGTGATAATAACTCTGCAGATCTTTGTCTGCTGATGTGGCCCGTGTCCCACCTGCCGTGTGCCTAAATGCCGTTGGCCCTTCATGTCTAGGTGGCCTCCAGCTGTTCTGGGCCTTGTCACCCAAGCAACCGGGTTGTGCCATTGGCCCCAAGCACTGGGTTCGGGGTGGTTTACCGTGGGCCGTGTGCCTTGTGGGCCTATCCATGTCAATAATAATTTAATTAGTATCAATTAACTAGGGCAAGATAATTAACAGCATACAGATTCTTTTATGAATTTGTTTGGTTAGTCTCCATTTCAGAACAAAAGGAATGTCGATAGCCTTGTAACTTAGTGGAATGGAGGCAACACTTGGCTGGTTGTAAGGGAAAGGTCGGGAATTCAACTCCCTTAGGAGCTAATATCATAATTAACAATTGCTGATCAAAAAATATCATTATTAACAATTGACTTTCTCTGATTCAAAAAAGCAAAAAAAAAAAAAAAAAAAAAAACCTTGAATTATAGTCTCAACTTATAGCTCTTGACATATATCACAAAAGCAAAACTCACTACTATAATAGAGGACGAATACGAAAATGAGCCTAAACCAATAGTAGAATACGAAGCAAAAAATAGATGAAGTGTTCCTGTGGATTGCAGAGTTCAACAAAGGTACGTAGGTCACTATGACCAAAGTATGCATTGCTATCTTGTGAAAAGAAGGGACTAGAGAACCATTTTACCCATTTATCTTTTATGTGATTTTCCTTATGGATTGTAAAACTGAACTTGTAACAATTGGACAAACTGATACCCAAAGTGCTCAAAATAAATGAACAACTAAGTAGAATCCATAAGAAATGGGTATGTAAACAAATAGGCTCTTAATATTTGAATACCTCTATTTCATCAAACACTTGTAAGCATTTTTCACTATATGAATTATCTTGCAGTGGGCAAGCAGACTAATGGCATGGTATGAAACTTTTCTCGACTTTCTTTTTTTGGGAGAATGAAACTTTTCTTGACTTTCCTCTCCTACTTTTTCTAAAATAAGTAGTGTGAAGATTTAGATATATTATTCTGACCACTCGAGGAATGATACATCTATATCTAAAATTTTCTTACTTACACAAAGTGCACAGATTCTAAATTTACCGTTGGAACTGAGGAATTATTGAACCAATTCAAGCATCTTGATTAGTAAATGATAACTAATCAGTATTTATACAGAACTCAACACTAACTAACTAACAACTCGTCTAACAAACTCAGTTGCAATATGTACACTATCCTACAATGGCAGCTTACACCTTGTAATACACCTGCTCTCGTTAATGACTTAGATGCATCAAATATGATCTCTTTCTTATCAACCCCCCTCAAGCTCTAGGGTGACGGAGCAACCTTGAGTTTGAAAGTAAGAAAAGAGAACTAGCAATGGATAAGGGCTTAGTGAAGATGTTTGTTAGCTGATCTAAGGTAGGAACATGTTTGAGAAGCAATTTGTGAGCTGCAACCTTCTCTCTAACAAAATAGCAGTCAACTTCAATGTGTTTGGACCGGCTATGAAAAACAAGATCTGCTGCTTGATTGATAGCATAGTACAACTCTGGTCTGGTGATAGTAAGGTATTGAAGAGCACCCACAATGCTCCTATATAAAAAAGGGTTGAGGACAAGGGAAAGAATCAGAGGTAGGCATTGGTGGTTTAGAAGAAATTGGTGTGGCATAAGGCTTGCAACCAACCATGCCTGCTTTGACAAGTAATTCAAAGGCATACTTGCGTTGATTAACAAGGAAAAAAATAATAATAATAAATCAAAATGTGACTGAACAAAAATGCCAAGAAAATAAAAAATATCTCTTAGCTCCTTCATTGAAAAGACATGATGCATATGGAATAAGAGAGTTTGGATATAAGGCTCATTTGTGCCAATAAGGAGAATATCATCCACATATATATCATAATATAGGAAGACGTGGTCTTGTGGACAAACAAAGAAGTGTCACATTTGTTGTTGATAAACCCCTGAGAAAGAAGAAAAGAGGAAAATATAGAGTACCAAGCTCTGAGAGTTTGTTTCAGGCCATATAGAGCTTTTTGGAGTTTACAAACAAGAGGAGGATTGGAGGAATTAATAAACCCAGGTGGTTGTTCCATATACACTTCCTCTTCAAGTCTACCATGCAAAAATGTATTAGAAATGTCTAATTGCTTAATAAGCCAATGATGATGCAAGGCCAAGTAGACCAAAATCCTGATTGTGGGTTGCTTGGCAATAGGACTAAACATGTCTTGAAAATCCACACCATGCTGTTGAAGAAACCCTTTAGCCACAAGCCTGGCTTTGTGTCTAGCTACAGTGCCATATGAATTTCTCTTATCCTTGAAAACATACTTATAACCAATTGCCTATTTAGAGGATGGAAGAGAAACCAAGAACTAAGTGCCTTAGTGCCGAAGAGCACTATATTTATCCATCATAACACATAACCATATAGGAGAAGCAAGAGCAACTTTGGTAGACAGAGGCTCAATAGAGCCATTTGCGGGAATGAGAGTAGACTAAGCAGTCATGGCATGAGCCTTGGTTTTAGACCTGGTTTGCATAGAGTGGGTATTTGTTGGTGGTGGAGGAAGATAAAGAGCAGTTGAAATAGAATCAATAGGAATGAGAGGAAGAGTAAAAGAAGTAAGAGGAGAAACAGACTGAACAGGAATAGATGGGAAAACTGAAACGGATGGAGTGTAAAGATGACAAATAGACTGAGCTGGGACAGAGGGCAAAGACTAATTTGGAGCAGGGTTGAGAAACTGAGCTAGTACAGGATGAAAAGACTGAACTGGGACTGTATGAGACTGAGTAGGAGGCAGGATGAGAAGAGAGTAGACTAAGTAGGTTGAGACTAAGGATGAAGAACAGATGGATTTGACCAAAAGAAAGTTTGCAACTTTGATAAAGCAAAAGTAACAGGAACAACAAAACAAGAAGTAAAGGGGAAAATAATTTCTTCGAACCTAGCATGCCTAGAAAGAAGAATAGTACCTATGAGTGGATTCAAACACCTATAGCCCTTAACATTAGGATGATAACCAAGAAAGACATGTGAAGTAGATTTAGGTGCTAATTTGTGAGAAGTATATGGTTTAAGCCACAAATAACAAAGACAATCAAATACTTTTAAGAAAGAATTAATTAAAAAGGAGAACAATTAGAAATAGCAACAGTAGGAAGCCTATTAATTAAAAAGGTAGCAGCAGCCACAACATCAAACCAGTAAATAAGAGGCAAAGCAGATTGGCTGAGAAAGGCAATAACAGTCTCAGTAATGTAAAGTTGTTTTTCTTTCTGCAACACCATTTTGAGACGGTGTATGTCAACAAGAAGATTGATGCAAAATGCCATGTTTAGTCATAAAATTGGTCATAGAATGATTGTTAAACTCTCCACCTCCATCAGATCTCAACACTTTGAGAGAGCAGCCAAATTGTTTTTCAACAAACACTTTAAATTCAGTAAATTTGGCATAAACCTCACCCTTATAAACCAAAGGATAAAGCCAGGTAAACCGACTCAAATCATTAACAAACACAACATAATACTTATAACTAGAAGTAAAACAAGTAAAGGGCCCTAAACATTTGTGTGTATAAGAGCTAATGGTTGATCAACAATAGCATTAGAGAGTTTAATTGTAATCTATGAGATTTAGACATAGCACAATCAACACAAGAAAATGGAGTTTTATTAGAAGACAGTGACAAATGCTTCTTCAAGAGTTGAAACTTAAAAACAGATGGATGTCCCAATCTTTTGTGCCTAATGTTAGCAGAAGTGGAAAAAGATATAGTAGAACTATGTAAAGCATGATGTGAAATAGGAGATGAATGAACAACAAAATGATACAAGACATTAACATGATATCCTTTAAGTAGAACGACCTTGGAATGATTGTCCTAGATAGAAAAAGAGAACTTACCAAATAGAATGGAGCAATTGTTATTTGTAGCTAGTTGTTGCATAGAGAGAAGGTTAGAAGAAACAGAAGACACATGCAACACTCTATTTAATCTAAAAGAATGATGAGGAGTAAGATGGATACTTTGACCAATGTAATGAATAGGAAATGAAGAACCATTACCAATGGTGACTTGTTAGAGTTGTCCTATGCTGTCAATCAAGCCTGCTAGTTCATACACTCCCCTACAGTTGGACATTTTGTTGCAGTTAAAAGGATGTTAAGATATATTAGGGGGCACACTCTCTCATGGTTTGCTTTTTACACTAAATGCTTTTCAGCTTCTTGCTTATACTGATTCTAACTGGGCTGGAGACCCCTATGGTAAAAGATTTACCTCAGGCTATTGTATATTTTTAGTTGCCAATCTCATCTCGTGGTTTTCAAAGAAGTAACCTATTGTCTCTAGGTCCTCTTCTGAAGCTAAATGCAGGTCTCTTGCCTACACCACTGCAGAATTAACTTGGCTTCAAATGCTGCTTGAGGAGTTCTCTATT